CCTTTGGAAGCCCAGATTATTCCAATACGCCTAAGTGCCAAGCACAGTCCATGCCATTACAGTCATTAGCAGTCTCTGGTCTCCTGACAAGACTGTAGTGCCCATGGGTTGATAGAGGGCACAGAGATGAATTACTCCATAGAGAGTTTCAGGGAACAGTGTCTGCTTTATGAGCAACCACTTTCATAGTGGAACCCTGTCAACTGTGATTGGTTAGCACATTGCCTCTGCCTCCAGATCCCAATGCAGAACTCTCAGCTACTTCTCCAGCACCATGTCTGCCTGCATGCTGCTGTGCTTCCCACTGTTACAATAAACCAAACCTCTGAACCTGTAAGTCAGTCCCAATTAGATGTTTTCCTTTATAAGAGTTGTCATGATCAGCATCTATTCACAGCAATAAAACTCTAAGTGTCATTAATGAGAAACCTTGAACTTTACACCAGGACAGTAGAAAAGATGCCTTGAAAGCAATACATCACCTTTCCAAAGCTTCAAGATGCAAACCCACTAGGAAGACTTTCATTTGAAAAGAGAATCCGTGAACAAAGATCTAAGGTATTCTACTAAAGCAGGGTCCTGGAAATCAAACTTGGATCCTCTTGCAAGCACAATAAATGCACAACCTCTGAGCCATCTCTTCAGCCCCATGGTGCTGGTTTTGTAGACATAAAAATAAATAAATGCAAACTGGATAGCGATGGCATACCCCTTTAACCCCAGCACTTGGGAGGCAGAAGCAGTAGATCTCTGAGTTCAACACCAGCCTGGTCTACAGAGCAAGTTCCAAGACAGCAGAGAAAAACTGTTTCAAAAAGTAAATAAATAAAAAGTGAGACTTAAGGGGTCACAGAAGCTTATACCAATGTTCCAGAAGGCCACTGAAGCCATGCATCATATCACCTACATGGATTTCTCTTTGGGATATGCTTAAAATTTAAAGGTGAATCCTAAATTGCAATAGAGACTCCAAGATACTGGAGATGCCAGAAATGTGAAACATTCACTAATAAAAGCTACAGGCTCTGAGTGAGTGGGACTAATCTAAGAGACCAAATGTATGCAGGCAATAGAGCTGGAAGGCAGTACTTCTATCTTTGAGTTAGTATTGCTGTGAAGAGACACCATGACCACAGCAACTTTTTTTTTTTTTTTTTGAGACAGGGTTTCTCTGTATTGCTTTGGAGCCTCTCCTGGAACCAGCTCTGTAGACCAGGCTGGCCTTGAACTCACAGAGATCCACCTGTATATGCCTCCTGAGTGCTGGGATTAAAGGCGTGTGCCACCACTGCCCAGCCACAGCAACTGTTATAAGGAAAACATCTAATTGGGGTGGCTAGCTTACAGTTTCAGAAGTTCAGTTCATTACCATGGCAGGGAGCATAGTGGGGAGTATGGCGGTGTGCAGGCAGACATGATGCTGGCTACATCTTGATCAGAAGGCAACAGGAACTCATCTGTGTCGCTGAGCAGTATCCTGAGACGTCAAAGCCCGCCCCTCCAGCAAGGCCACACCCACTCCAACAAAGTCAAACCCCCCAATAGTGCCACTCCCTGATGAGATAGATTATGCGTGCCAAAACAACCACAACTCCCAAACTTGCTGGAGCTCACATGGTGTCATGATGCTACCCAATGGCACACGAGGGGTTGGAGTTGGGGTTCAGTCTTGCTTTGGCCTAGTTTGCCCATGCCATGCATCCATTCTTCCTTTTTAGAAAAGGAATGCTTACTCTTCACCACCGCGTGCCAGAAGTGTATAGTTTAAGAAGTTATTTTATATTTTTGGTGGTGAGCCTAACTCCTGGCTGGGTGGCAATGGTGAATTCAAGGCCAGTCTGGTCTACACAGTGAGTTCCATGGGCTCCCAGTTAAGAGTGCCTTGAGACCCAGTAGAGACTTAAGACTTTTTAAACAGTGGTGAAACTGTTAGACTATGAAAACCTTTGAAATTGAATTTAGTCTATTTTACATAATAAGATGGCCATGAGCCTAAGCAGAATACTATGGTTTGTGTAAAATGCCCCCTAAAGGGGGCTTAGCCTGCTCTACAGTATAACCTCAGGATCTGCTAGCATATGGAATGACCTGTCTTCATGGTGTTTCACAAAAAAATAAAAAATAAAAAAGCTATAATTAAGGATGCTATGTGCCCTGCACTGTTCAATCCTCATTTGTTAAGAACTCTTGGATTCAGATCATCTCACAAGGCCCTGCCTACAGCTCACATATAGAATTCTTAGATTGTTCTCCAGTGTCAGGGAAATGAAAACCACCCCAGCAGTGGCCCCTCTTGACCCTGCTCTGGAAGCAAAAACCAGTCTGGAGAGTTCTGTTGTCTGGGTGGACACCTTTCTACAGCACCTGTGGCTTCAGTCTGGCTGCACTTAATGACAGTACGTAACCCAACATGAAAGGGTGGCTGATAGGTCTTCAAGCAAAGGACACAGCTAAATAGCTATGAGATTAAAAGCCAGCCTCGCCACCCAGAGAGCCTATAAGGAAAACACATATGAAACTCAGTGATGATAATCAAAGGGCTGGGAACGGTCTTAGTTGTCATGGCCTATAAAGGGACTATAAAGCACCTTCAGGCCCTCTGCTCTACCCCAGTAGGCAGCCTGTCTGTCTACCATGGGATGAAAGGTGTGTGATGGCCAACAGAGAAGGGTCAAAAGAAGCTCCCTAGTGGGATCCAGCCATCACTGCAGTGGAGGATTGTGGGACCACATTTCCAGCCCAAATCTCATTTTCGGGATGATATGGGATTGCTATTCACTTTTGAAGACAGTAAAGATAACCGCAGGTGTATGTCTGATGGAAACTGTTCGGGAGCTCTGGCAGCAGCATCCTTAGAGCCTGTGTGCTTGCTTACAATGTGCAGTGCTAACATTCCTACACACGTTCCCTGGCCCGATGGGACCTGCCTTTCAAATTCAAGATAAAGCTTAGTCACAGATGGCTTAAACAGTGATCAGCTACTTCTCGACTCTGGAAGCCAAGAGTGTGTGTGTCACAGCAACTATCAGGGTGTGAGCCCCAATGACTGCCTGGGGATTTCTAGACAGCTAACCTAGACATGGAGGCCTCTTTTCACCCCCCTCCTTAAACAGTACTAGGGCTTGGTGTTGTTCTTTTCGAAGAATGTGCAATGTTCCATGGCTCTAATGGAGTGCTCCATCACAGGAAAAGGGGACATCAGTGGGTAAACTGGTCATGCCAGCCTAACTACCCAGCAATCCCAGAGTCCACTCAAAGGTGGAAGGAGAAGGAATTGACTCCACAGGCTTCCATTAATCCTATCGGGTAAGAATAAGACCACTACCACACTTTTGATCCAAATCTGAAGCAAGTTCGATTTTTATTGGGATGCCCCAGAGATCTGGCCGGCAATGGCCTCCTAAGTCAGGTTAGAGAGAACAGCCCCAAGGCTAATCATGAGTAGTTGCAAAGCAAGTTTACAGAAGAGAATGGAGCAGTAAGTACAGAAGAACTTCAAAACAAAAAATCCAACAGCCGTGATTATCCAGTCTACTGGAACTGGAGTTATCCATAGTTGTGAGTTACCATGGGGGAGCTGGAAAAACTCTGGTAAAGTAGCCAACACTCTTAACCAGGAAACCATCTCAGTCCCCACTTTTTTGGTTTTGTTTTGTTTTTCAAGACAGGGTTTATCTGTGTAGCTTTGTAGACCAGGCTGGACTCAAACTCACAGAGATCCTCCTGCCTCTGCCTCCCGAGTGTTGGGATCAAAGGTGTGCGCCACCACTGCCCTCCTAACCTCCACTTCTTAAACGAAAAGGTACTTTGTTTTTAAGAGATTTTTGTTTTGTTTAGATGGGCCAGGCAGTAAAGGATTGCATGAGGTAGTATCTGGACAGTGCTCACCAAAGTTAGTTCTCCTCAGTTCCATCCCTCTTAGTCCAAGCTACCTCCAAAGAAAGGGTAATTCACAGTATGGTATTGGAGGGAATGTAGGGATGGGGTGTAGACTAGTGGCAGGACACTTGCATGCATGAAATCCTAGGTTCAATTCCCAGCACCACAGAGAGGTGGATGGGAGCGGGTGCTTTAGAAAGCAGTTTACCTTCAGAAGTCAACAAGCAACTAGCAACTTTTATAATTCGTAACTGTTTTGGTGAGGCAGAAGGAATGACCATAGTGAAATATTCAATATGCCTGAAAACCTTCAAAGACAAATGGCTTGGACACGTAGAAAGTTCAATTCATATCCATCATCCATATCCTTCCCATTCAGCTCAAACATCGAAACAAAACATACTTGCTTTTTATTTTTCAAGTCAGTGCCCCTTTTCCAACCAAAAGTTAGATGTGGGTGGGGGTGGTGGGGGTGGGGGTGGTAAAAACTGTACAGGAGACCATGCAAAGAAAGGAGCAAGAGAAACATGGGCAGAAACTAGGAGGGAAGATGGTCGTCCAGATCTCCACAAAGATTATTAACATCGAAACACTTTACTACTTCCTAAAGTTTCCAAACGACCTCTTGCCAATGTCCTTTTTATGTTTAGCATGGCCAGTCACTGTCGTCAAGCCAATATTCAGGCGTAGCAGATGCTCCACAAATGTGTTAAGGAGCTTAGCCACCTTCACCCAGAGTGCAGTGATGACATTTCCAGTAAATTTTCCAAAGGGAAGGAATGCATGAGAATGTTCCTCTCACATGGACTGCCCGAGTGTGTGCACGTGTGTGTATGCTCGTGTGTATGTGTGTGTATGCACATGTTGTATATGCACGTGTGTGTATGCACGTGTGTGTGTGTGCGCGCGCGCGCGCGCTTTTCTTCTCTGGCTAAGGTTTGTTACAGGCCTTTGTGTTTTTAAAATCACCGCACAGACCTGGGATGATCCTTCTATGTTTCAGAAGAAACACGTTTCCTCGATCATTTGTAAGTTGCAGGTTCGAAACCAATCAATGAAGGTGGTTGGGAGGAAAAAAACCCTCCAAACATTAACATACCCTCTTCCCCACCCCAACTCCCGAAGCACTTAATCCTTACGATTTGGCCCACAGAAGAAATCAGTTACCATGAAAACCTGGTGGATGAGGGCGCTGCTAGCCGCGCTCCTCCGGCTCGCTGCAGGGCGAGGCCCCGGAGGACGCTTTGGACTCGCCATCGCTGTTGCAGTCCCGCCGGTGGCGCTCCAGCAGCTCCTGCAGGTGCTTGATGTAGCCGATGGCGGCGCGCAGCGTCTCCACCTTGCTGAGCCGCTGGCCCGCCAGCTCGCGCGGCAGGTGCTGGCGGAGGCGCGCGTAGCCCTCGTTCACGCAGCGCACGCGCTGCCGCTCGCGCTCGTTGCGCTGGCGCAGAGAGGCGGGTTCGCCGACGCCCCCCAGCGACAAGGACGGGCACGGGCGTCTCCGCGCGCTGTCCTCGGCGTCCTGGCGTCCGGAGGTCCTGCCCGGCTCCCTCCGGGGCATCGTACCCAGTGTTGGCGTCCGTAGCGGGGACGGCAGAGCCAGCAGTCCCTCCGGTCTGCGTTTCTCCATCCTCCACCGAAAAGCGCGCAGATCACACAAGGGGTGACTCTCTTAGTAGGAAAACCAGACTTGAAGCTTTCGTGGCGGAGGCGCTTGTCCATCCAGACTTCCCGGTCTGTCTTCGGGGAAGTTTCTAGGTCCAGAAGCTAGGTTCTTGAGCACACTTAGAGGGAACTTCGCATGATTTCCGAAGCTCGTTGTTCTCTCTTTATAAAACTTCAGAACAGAAAGGGCAAAGAAAGAGGACGCGCCTCATCCACGCTTGTACCCATGTGTCCCCTCCGATCTTAGTTCAAAAGATAACAAAAGGTCTCCGGCCTGAATAGACGATCGTAACCCAAACAGATTGATCTCTCAAAGCTACCCAATTGCTGTAATTCACTCCTGGGTCAGCAAGTGTGGCTCTCGGGGAACCAGGAATTGAGCAGGGTTCCTCCCAGGCACTTGCAGGTCGGCTGACCGGCAGACAGAAAGTTTACTCTGGCATTCTCCTTGAAAATCCAAACTTGACTGTCCTTTGTGGTTTCCGGCGTTGAGGTCTGATGGAAAGAGCTTTCAGGGTGTTTGCAAACATACCCCTTGCTCTTTCATTTCTGGGGAGGCGGAGAAGAGCTCATCAAAGGGAAGACTGCTCTCTTGCGGTTAGAAGATGTGTCAAGTCAAGGAGGACCTCCGGGGAAGCCCGAGGTTTTCTTCTGTGAAATCAAATGGTTTGAAAACCAAAGTAGACACTTTTTGAAGGTAACAAGAACAAAATCTATTATATATTTTAGCATCAAATATAAGGATCCATGATATGGTATTCTAACGAATGTTTAACGCGAGGTCCTTTATGTTTTATTGCTGGGTAAAAACACATCAAAAGCCCAAACAGTAACAAACTTTTAGTCAGTTATTTTTCAGGGTGCTTACTGTAAACACAGCTTTCTTTAGTCCTACCTCCCAACCTCTTCTAATCCCGCTCAGGATATAAGGATATCTTCCCATAGCGCCAAGATTTTTCCCATTATATTCATCTTTATTTCCTCCCTTGAGGACTGGAAAAAAATTTTTTTTTGAAAAGTAGAAAGCCCCATGTCCAAGGAGAAAGGATATGAGTTTGAAGGCTTGTCTTTCTAATGCTGTCCCTCCCCCCCACACACAAATGAATAATTAATCCATCTGTGTTGGTAAAGGGCTTTGAAGATGAAAGTGTCATTAAAAATCCAACTGCACTGGTTAATGTCAGAGTGTTATCACATGGAAAAATCAGATTTCCTGTTCAGCAAACTAACACATTAAAGGCATCTTCTACTTGAAAAGTTCAACTTAAAAACAAGAGATGCAAAAACCCCCTAAATTTACAACCAGACCCGACTCTTCCCTGGGAGCTGGGGTGTCGCACTAACATGTTTTTTTGTTTTGTTTTTGTTTTTTTTTTAAAGACTCCTGTGCTTCCATACTTACTATAAAGTTTAGAGTTTAAACGACTAGCCTGAAGCAACTGTAAAAACACTTGCACCAAGGCAAATAAAATAGAAATAATTATTCCTTTTAGGCATAAGTTAGTCACATTTAAAAAGGCGTAGTTCCCTATAGGCTTATACTGGCAAACCACTCATCATGGCATCATGACCCATCATGGCATCATGAGCCATCATGACATCATATTTTCATGAATTGAGAAAGCCTTCCTATTAGCAGACAAACCTCCTGCAGGGTGCACAGGCTGTGAGACCACAAACTGCTTTGGTCCAGGTCAAAGAGTGACAAGAGAGAATGAGATCATTGAAAATAGGGAGGTGACCTAGATCTGTTTTTCTTTCTTAGGCAGATAGCAAATAAAAAGACTGCAAGCCAAGTGTGGTGGTACACACCTCATGCTAGGGCTGGGAGACAGAGGCAGGCAGGCCTGTGTGAGTTCCAGGCCAGCCTGGTTTACATAAGAAGTTCCAAGCCAGCCAGGGCTTGGTGCACGGTGAGACCTTGCCTTACAATATAAAGTAAAATGAAAGTATGTAAAGGTTGACTAACAGCTGGTGGTGTTAAGGACTTGAGGGACTGAAGTGTTAGGGTAGATAATGATTACAATCAACAGTATATTATCCCATTGCCTTTCATCCAGAAATGCTGGCAGTTTTGTTCCACAGCAATAAATGCACCACTAGTTAAATACTGGTCACAGCATTTGTAGTGAGTTAAAAAAGAGAACAGGGCTGTGTCTGGTGCAGCACACCCGTAATCCCAGCTTCTTTGGGAGGCCTAGAAGGATGATTGCAAGTTCCAGGCCTGTATAATGCTAGTTGTAGGTATGTTTTCAGGGCTGACCGTGTGGTATTAGCTAACCAATCGGTTGCTACCCCCCACCCAAGACGTCTCCTGCTGTCAGCATCCTTGGTTGCCTGTTATTCTCCACGTAGGGCCCACACTTCTTGAGTTTTTCCTTGTCCACATTAACAGGTCTATTGCTATTTGACCATGTTCAGCTCATATTTAGACAATGTGTTGGTGAGACTTATTTATGTATTTAGGAATACACACACACACACACACACACACACACACACACACACATATATATATATACATATATATATATACATATATATATATATATATATATCAACAATTTAAAAAGAGGCCATGAATTTGAAAGAGAGCAAGGGAGGAGGAAAGGGAGGGCAGAAGTGATGTAACTTTATTACAATCTAAAAAAATAATTAAAATTTTAAAACTAAAATCTTAAAATGAAAAGAAAGTTCAAGGCCTGCCTGGGCTGTAGAGTGAGTTCAAAGCCAACCTAGGCAACTTGTGAAACTGTGTCTCACAAGAAAAAGTCAAAAGAGGGCTAGGGTTAGCTTTAGGTTCTCTCCCAGGGTAGTGGGGATGAGGAGGAGACAGGACACAGCACAGTCTGAATACTTACTCATAAAGAAAAAAGTAATACTTACAGATCTCTATGTTTTTATTAAAAATATTGAGTAAGATATATGCAAGTACTTACAGAAATATAAAAAATGTGTTAAGCAAAACATAAGGAAGAAACTTACAGACTTACATTTGCAATAGGAACATAAAACAATTTTATATGATTTATATATGTCTGGTTTTGAAACAGGATCACACTGTATAGCCCAGGCTGGCTTCAAATTCAAGCCCCTCCTGCCTCAGCCTCTTGAGTGTTGGAGCAACAGGTGTGTGACACAGTGACAAGTGGCCTACATGTCTTTGTGTGTTTGTGCAGACATGGAAATGAAGTGGAAAGATGTATACCAAATTTTCGTCATTGGTTGCCTAGAAAGTATGTCACTGGGCATAGAAGGGTGATTGCATCACTGTCCTCCATAAATCTCTCTACTGTTTCCTTATTACAAACTGCACACACTTTATATTTTCAATCTCATGAGTTTTAAAATAGCAAAAGGAAATGTGCACAACACTCAAATGATGTCCCAACTCGAGCCAGAACTACAGATTTATTATTAGCATTCAGGTTATTGGACCCACACAGGTTTTCTTATAAATTCTTTTTCTGAGGAAGGTGGTACAATTGTTCCTGCAGGTTTGATATGGGAGACTGCAATATCCCTAGGAGACCTTGGCCACTGTCATGGCAATGAAATGTGAAGAGCTTACATCTCTTTACAAGGTCTGGTAATGGGGCAAGCATTCCTTCTTAGGGAGAGGGTCACAAGACGCTCCTCTTAGAACCCATCACTGCTGTAAAAAAGGGTAGGAGTCATGATAGCACACGCCTACAATCACAGCACGTGGGAGAGAGATACAGGAGGATCAGGAGTTCAAAGCCAACCTTGGCTCTATAGGAAGTTTAAGGCTAGTCTGGGCTACATGGATCCTGCCTCAAAGAAAAGCAGTAAAAAATTGTCTGGGGATGAGACTTTTCTACAGTACAGTTGCTCACAAGTTGCCCATGCTTCTGTGGGCAACGCCAATTAACTTACTTGTTTTCTAAGTCGGGTTTTTCTGGTCTGCCTACTCCTTCCCCATTTGAGGGGAATAGATGTTACTTTTGTGTCTCCTTAGAAAGCAGGGAGAAATGTGCACAGGATTTATAAAACTCTAACAAAACAGTCCCAAGCTAACTTTACCATCTGTTTGATCTAAAGTTTCTCTCCAACCTAAGAGGTCTTACATATGGCTGGCTAGATGGAGACAGATGATACAGCACCTAAAACGCTTTGGTCATCTGAATTAGATCTGTTCATCAAAGTGGGAAGGAAGCTCACTAAAAGTCCAGTTCATCTGATTACAAGGTGTTCCTAGGAAAGAGGGAACATCCCACCCAGACAGCTCTCCTGTCTGCTCGAAACAAGAGGGGGAAGAAGATTCAGGTGGCTCTTCTGGCAAAACAGTTCATGCTTCATTACAGATTTTGATTTTCTGGGGCTGTGACTTCTGAGATACACATGTGCTTCCGGCATTGGGCTGGGAATTTGCATCATATATCACAAGGGGTAACAGGGATCATGCGTAGGTTATGATCTCATGCTAGAATTCTACTGGGATAATTTACTCAATCTCAAATTGATCCTCTAACACAGGTCCATTCAACTAGCCCTTCTCTATATAACTTAAATATTAAGTGTCTGTATCACTACATGCCGCATCTACCTAGCACAACTAAACTTCTATTCTGGTAAGATTACCATAGCCACATTTGGCATTATCACATTCACTTAGAAGAAACTGAAGCTGAGGCAGGAGGATTGTGAGTTCCAGTCTATCGTGGCGTATACATAGAGACACTATGTTTTAAATCTCAAATCATTTGGGGCTATGTAAGTCGGTATTGACAGCCAGGAGCAGGGCATGGTGCCATCTCAGAGTGTAGTAACAGATGTGCCTTCTCTGCCAATTAAAGAATTAAAAAGCGGGAAAGAAGTGATATCTGAAATCCAAAAAAGTCCCTACAGAACCTTCATGATCCTTAGAAAATCGGCGTCCCCTCTTGGGTTTCTCAATTTTGTTATTAGAAGATTTAAAATTATACTCAAACAGATGCTTGAGGACAATTTATTGGAGTTTAAGAGGAAAACCCCAGGGCAGGTAAGCCCAAACTCTCCAGCTGCCTTGGAGGGAAAGGAGAGAAGAAGGAACAGATGTCATAAAGAGGTGGCAGTGAGGTCAGCCACATGGTGGCAGGCAGTTTACACGGTTAGGATGGGGCATTTTGAAAGAGCAAGGAAGCCCAAAGCATTAGCAGTTTAAAGTATAATCATCTAGCCATCGTCCAAAGGAAAAAGACAGACAGGAAGAAAAGTGAATATGTCTTTTGCATCAGGCTTCAGAAAGATGGGTAAATCCAGCAGAACGTATCGGTGGCTCTGATAGTAGGCAATACACGAAGGGACAGGAATTCTGGAAAAAAAAGGCACATTATCTAAGATGAACCAGCCTTCCTAGGGCTGGTCCTCTAGCCAGGTTCCTTTCCGGAACCCTTCAGGAAGGAGACAAGGACCTGTCTCGACCTACAGGTAGATCATATTCTTCACAGCACAGTTGAGTGTTTCATCTGGAATTATTGTAGCAACCCAGGGTGTTGTGTAGGACCCCTCCATGTTCCTCCAATAGGTAACAGGGGCAAAGAAGCCAGATCTGCAACACACAGCTGTTGGGATATCCATGTTTCCTGCCCTTAGGAACCAGTACTTCTTAAATCACGACCCCATGAAAAGAGCTTCCACCAACCTTAGGCACTCAAGGAATTTCCACACTCAGGGAGGCCCAAAGCTGTAAGGCCCCTGTTTCTATATGGCACCTTGGTGTAAGTTAGAAAAGGGCATTCCAGGCTTGGACCACCAATGGCTGATTCTAAAATTCATCAGGAAGAGCTATTTGAATGCTAAGTGTGGTGGCACACTGCTGTTATCCCAGCCCTTGGGGTGATGAGGCAGAGAAAGACCAAGCTGGCTACTCGGTGAGTCTCTGCTGTGGAATTCAAGCTCAGTGGCGGAGAGTACAATTTCCTCACTCGTGGAGAGCTTGGGTTGAATCCTCAGTGCGAAGAAGGAGAGGAGAGGGAGGACAAAGCTGCTGCTACCGTTGCTACCATCGCTACTATGGAGTAAACATGCTCAGTTCTGCATGAAAGAGCATGGGCATTACTCCTCTCATTACCATGACCAAATGCATACTCTCAACAAATGGCTTAAGAAAGGAAGGCTCTTGTGATGGAGGCCATAGTCATGGCAGTGTCAGGATGCTCACGGTGCATCTGCCAGTCACAGTGATGGGAGTGTCAGGGCGCTCACAGTGCATCTGTTGTCATAGTGATGGGAGTGTCAGGATGCTCACAGTGCATCTACCATTATAGTGATGGGAGTGTCAGGATGCTCACAGTGCATCTACCATCACAGTGATGGGAGTGTCAGGATGCTCACAGTGCATCTACCATCACAGTGATGGGAGTGTCAGGATGCTCACAGTGCATCTACCATCACAGTGATGGGAGTGTCAGGACGCCCATAGTGCATCTACCATTATAGTGATGGGAGTGTCAGGATGCTCACAGTGCATCTGTTGTCATAGTGATGGGAGTGTCAGGACGCTCAGGGTTCATCTACCATCACAGTGATGGGAGTGTCAGGACGCCCATAGTGCATCTACCATCACAGTGATGGGAGTGTCAGGATGCTCAGGGTGCATCTACTATCTGGTACTCTGCTGTCTCTCTCCCGGCTTTGTTCAGTCTAAGACGCCAGTCCATGGTACTTGCTATCTACACACAAGCTTAGTTTTCCCTCTTAACTTGTTCTTGAAGTCACTTTGGCAAAATAGAAAACTGAACAATTAATGATTATAGTTAGGGGTACAATAAGAAAGTACAAACAGTACACTCAGCAAAACTTAGTCTAGGAAATGGAATGAGAATACTTTAATTTGAGGGTAATTAGACACTTTTTTTTTCTGTCTGGGCTTGCTGGTGCATGCCTTTAATCCCAGTATTCCAAAAGCAGAGATTGGTGGATTTTGATGAGTTTGAGGCCGGTCGGGTCTACATAATGAGTTCCAGGCCAGCCAGGGTTATATATAGTGAGATACTGTATCAAAAATATTTCATTGAATTTACTAATTTGTATGTGTGTGAGCATGCATATATATGTGCATGCAAATTGTCATAGTTGGGGGCAAGTGCTTTTACCCACTAAACCATCTTGCCATCCCCCTGAAGTGGTATTTTTTTTTTTTAAACAATGGACATGGTGGCGCATGCCTTTAATCCAAGCACTATGGAAGCAGAGGCAGGCAGATCTCTATGAGTTCAAGGCCAGCCTGTTTTACAGAATGAGTTCCAGAACAAGGCAGGATGACACAAAGAATCCTTGTCTCAAAAAACTAAAAAATATTTTTATTTGTTTGTTTTTTTACATTTATTATTTAAAAATATTTTTAAAAATTGGGGCTGGAGAGATGACTCAGCAGTTAAGTGCGGAGGACCTGGGTTTAGTTCCCAGCATCCACACAGGACTTCACCACCATCCATGTGTTCAGTTCCAGGATACACAGAATATAGACATACATTCAAACAAAACACTCATGCACACGAGTATGTGCATATGAACAGGTGTCTGCTCTATCCAAAAAGAGTGTAACAGATTCCCGGAGTTGAAATTACAGGAGGCTGTGAGCCACTGGACATGGGTGCTGGGAACCCAATTGTCCTCTGCAAGGACAGTATATACTCATAACTGCCGAACAGTCCCTCTGAACCATTTGTGTGTGTGTGTGTGAGCACACATGTGTATGTGCCCATGTGTCATTCCAGGCATCATGTGGAAATCTGAGAGATTTTATTTTTTTCTATCCACCCTGAGGGTTCTGGGAATGAAAAATATGTTAATCAGGCTTGAAAGCAAGTGTCATTACCTGCTGAGCCATCATGGTGGCTCTTCAAACACACACACACCACAAAGCAAAACATTGTGTGGGTACACATACCATGACACACATGTTGATTCTGTCATTTCACCTTTGACAACTTCTGTCATTAGGCCTATCTAGAAAATATTTTTATATGCTGGGCTACAACTTGGCAGGATCTTTTGTGACCCAGGCTTGCTTAGAGCCTATTGTGTAACCCAGAATGGCCTTGACCTTCTGACCTCCCTCCCTCATTATCTGTACATATTGATGTTTCTGATGTGCACTGTCATGCCCAACTGTTGACTTTTTAAGGTATTTTTACATATGACAAAACTCATTTTTTTTTTTTACAGGATAGGCTTTCTTTTTTAGCCTTGGCTGTCTTGGAACTAGCTGTATAGACTAGGCTAGCCTTGAACTCACAGAGCTCTGCCTGCCTCTGCCTCCCAAGAGCTAGGATAAAAGGCATGCGCCACCACTGCCCAGCTATATTTACCTTTCTTCCTCCCTTCCTTCTACTATTCTTCCCTCCCTCCTTCCACCACCACTGTCTGGCCTAATCATGTATTTCAAAATGTGCTATGTGGATTCGTGCTTCTCTACTTGAGGACTGCAGAAAACAGTCCGGAGAACCTTGGAGCCCAGAATGAACTTCTAGTAGGTGCATCAGTTTTGGTCTCCTAGCAACGGCGAGTCGATTACTCGGCGCTCTATTGGGTTGGGGCCCACCTGAGCTGCAAGGCTCTGGGCGGAGCGTCTCGGAGCCCGCCCACCCCCGGGGTGGAGCTCTGCGGTGCGCGCGCACGCACACGCGCAGATAGTGGGCGGGGCGACAGTGAAGAACGGAAGGTCGCCGCTCAGGCAATGGGCAGGTTGCTGGCACGCCGAGTGGCTGAGAAGCCGGAAACGCACCCCGAGTGGCTGAGAAACCGGAAACGCGCCCCGGGGGTGCGGCCGGAGGAGGCGGGAGTGAATGGGCGGGGCCGGGCGGGAAACGTTACGGGAACCGTAAGCGGGGCGTGGGGTCCGGGCGGGCAAGGGCGCCCGGGCCGAGCTCCGGCTGCATGAAGATCCGAGAGGGTGGACCGATGCTCCCCGGTGCGGGCCTCAGGTGGGCGATCGGCCGGGCGGGTTAGCGCGGCCAGGGCGGGGAAAGGCCGTGGCTCATCGCTTTTCTCCCCTTCCAGGTCCGCCAGCCGGGCTCCCAGCGCTTCCGGAAAAACAGCCCCGGGCGCCGCCCAGCATGCCCGGCTCTCCGCGCGGAGCACGACCACCGGCCCTCGGAGACGTCGGGCCGTCCGGGGAGGAGCGGCCGCCGGCGGGATGTGCTAGCACGTGACGCAGGCCCCGGGCGCACTCCAGTCGGACGCTGGTCCCCTGCTCTGCCTGCGCAGGTGAGGAGGGCGGGGAGGCCGGGAGGACACGGTCAGAGAGGGAGTCTTTGTTTGGGTGCCTTCGGGGCTACACGTGTGACATGTAAATGGAACGCAGTGCCCGAACCTAACTAGAAAAAGAATCCAGAGTGCTAGTTGATTCCAGGTTTGAGTGATTGATTTGAGTGATTGATTTGTTCGGAGTAACCACACCTTGTTAGCTGCTTGACATCTTTTTCCTGCCTTTGAGTTATTGTAGCGTTTGATATTTTAATTCGAGTCGTCTGTTTTTGCAGTATCATTCATTGCCCCTCACCTTTGAGATTGCGGGCTACTTTAGCCGGGGATGGTGGAGTGCGGAGACTTAAGTTATTAATTGTGCAAGCCTCGCACATTAGAAGGTACTGTGCCAGTATAGTATAGAAACAAACCAAAGACGGAGTTGTATTTTGCTGGTATTTTTCAGAATCCTTTAAAAGTCTATTTATAACGTGGAAGAGAAAATGTATCGACTGAAATTATTGGAGCTAGTCGATGAATCTTGGCCGTATGTTTCCAGAAAACAGTGTGAGGTCTGCACCTAACATGATTGTCTAGGTTGGTTAGAAACAGAAACAGAATGATACTTGCTGAAGATGTGAGGAAGATAGAATTTAATATCTTCACTTTCGGTTTTCTTAGGACGTGTGTGAGACAGGTAGGCAGAAAGGTTGTCCTTTGGAACAAGGAAATGCTTTGAGGATCACTTACATTTTGATTACTTGTTGACTTTGGTTTGTGGCTGTTGAGGTCACCACATTTTAGGGACTCAACAACAAAGCAGAAATGTGCTGAGCCTCTGCTTTAAAGTCTTGATTTGAACTGGTTTGGGGAGAGTAGGGTTTCCCACCGATGTTTACTATGACATTATATAGGTTAATGTTTAGATCTTTCAGAATAGGAAGCAAAGTGACACAACACACTTAACCCTGCTCTAAAAAGTTACTGTAACCACTTTGCTGTAGGCTTTATGGATCCTGCAGTGATAGCGTTTTAGGTGTAGTTGTGGCTGGAAAAGTGAGAGAAGTCTGTTTGAAACTGGCTGGAGCCTAGAAATTTACAGTTAAAGTAGCATGGCTTCTTTAGGCTACAAGGAGTTTCCATTTTTCTGTGAGAAAAACAGCCACACACATTTTTTTGTTGATGTATGGTTCTTCAGATAGTGAACCTCATTTACCTGTGGTCTTTCTGGTTAGGATCACGAGTGGGCATTGCTTTTTAAGGTCTTTCATACTTATTGATATCCAAAAGCTAGGCCGTTTTTCTTTTCTTCTTCTTCTTCTTTTTTTTTAAAGACAGGGTTTCTCTGTGGCTTTAGAGCCTGTCCTGGAAGTAGCTCTTGTAGACCATGCTGGTCTCAAACTCACAGAGATCCTTCTGCCAAAGGCATGGGCCACTACTGCCTGGCAAAAGTGAGTATGATGGGTTTTTGTTTGTTTGCTTTGTTTTTTTTTTTTTTTGAGACAGGGTTTCTCTGTATTGCTTTGGAGCCTGTCCCCAAAAACTAGTTTTATGATTACACTATGATTATAGTATAATTCAGGAAACAGGTCTATGTAGGACTTAATACTGTACATAGGGTTTAGCCAGGTCCTAAAGTAAACAGGACTCTGTAGAAAACTGTAATTTGTTACCAGGCTAAGAGTTTGGGTGCCTTAAATTAGATCTGAGATCAAAACTCAGATGTACCTCTGACTAGTTATGTGATTTTAGGTTGTTTTTTAACCTCAAAATCTAGGCTATCTTATCATTAAAATGAGGTTAAGGTGCCAGTCTGGGGCTGGGGAAATGGCTCAGTGATTAAAAGCAGTAGCTGTGTAGAGGCTGACAGTTCCAGTTAGGTCTCTGGAACACACAATAAAAGCTGTAGGGGCTGGAGAGATGGTTCAGTGGTTAAGAACACTGGGTGGCCTTCCAGAGGTCCTGAGTTCAATTCTTAGCAACCACATGATAGCTCACAACCATCTGTAATGAGATATGGTTCCCTTTTCTGGCATGCAAGGACACATACAGATAGAACACTGTACATAATAAATAAATCTAAAAAAAACAACAACAAAAAAAGCTGTGTGCTGTGGTGGCATCTGTATGTAATTCTAGCACTCCTAAGGGAGATGGGAGGCTGACACCGGCAATCACCTCAGAGCTGGCCCTGCCTCAACAGCATGGAAGTTGAGAACTACCTCCAGACCTCCATATATGTCTTCAGCCCTCTCCTTCACACACATACATGTATGTTAATTAGAAAAGGAAGATAGCAAACTGGATTAGCTAGCACTCTGTCTGCTATGACAAAATACATGCCAAGAAGCAACTTAAGGGCAGATGGGTGTTGTGACTTACAGATCAAGGGGACACAGTCCATCATGTTGGGGGAGGCTAGTCACACTGCAGCCTATGCTCGGAAACAAAGGTGTGGTGACGGGCTTGCTTTGTCATTTCTATTTAATACAGGATCCCACCCCATTGACTTCCCTTTTATTCCCTTTTATTCACTCCTCTCAGGTGTGTGCCCATGTGATTCCAAGTCCACTGTGGTTGACCATGGAGGTTTACCATCATCCAGCCTTTAAGTATGTGGTTTAGGAGAGGCAGACTAAATTACTTAACCCATTGTTCCTGATGTACCTGTAGACTCACAGGAAGAACATGATGGGAGATGTCATTTTGTATATGTTTCTCATACTGGTTAATAATAAAGCACTGTTGGCCAATAGGAAAGGAAGATAGGAGGGACTAGGAGACAAGGAGGAAATAGGAAGTAGTAAGGAGGAGTCAAGATGGAGAGTCTGGAGAGAGCTGGACGCCAGCCGCCTCCCCGGTAAGAGAAGGCCATGTGAAGATACATAGAAATGGGTTAATAATTAAAGGCAGAGCTAGCCGATAAGTAACAAGTAACCGGGCCAACAGTATTGTATCAAATACAGAGTCTCTGTGTGTTGTTTGGGGCTGGCGGCGTGGCAGTGGGACCAGACAGGCGGCGGCAGGCAGAAAAACCTGTACTCCTTACAAGAACATATTGCAGTGAATATAGAAAACCCTTTTGTCCATATCTTCTGTAAATGAAAATATGGTCTCTAAGTCCTGATTAGAAACCAATATGTATACATTGTGCACGTCTATGCCTGTGTTGTGTGTATGGGTGCCCTCAAAGGCCATAAGGGTGTGGACACAGCACCCCCCCCCCCATCTCCCCAGCTGGATTACAGGTTTGTGAAGCTACCTGATATGAATGTTGGGACCTGAACATGGTTACTGCAGACTGAATTCAAGTCTTCTGAAGAGCATCAGGGACTCTTCCATGAGCCATCTCTCTAGCCTTATATATTTTTCTTTTGAGGCAAGGTCTTGCTATATAGTCTAGGCTGACCTTGAGTTTACCTTGCAGGTCTCCTTGGGACTCTGGCATTCCTCCTGTCTCAGCCTCCCTAATTCTGTGGCATCACACCTAACTAAAACTAAAGTCTTTACATAACAACTGCCAGTTAATGGCCTTTTCACTCTCTTAAGTGTAAGCACTGCACAGAACAGGTGACTCCTTGATTCCTCACCCTTCTGAAAATGGTGTTTTCATCAGCAGGGTCTGGCTGTTGGAACATCTTTGGCAATCCTTTACAGGATGCTTGATGCCCTTTATTGGAATACTTTGTGATTTGAGGCATATGCTGTATCTTTGAGCCTTAATTTGTCATCTACCTTACCATCAGATTTCGTGTGAAAATTAAAAATTGTTTTAGTAGAGTTCTGGCAAAGCTTGCAGGTTGAACCTCAGTGTGTGAGGATATTAAGATTCTTCAGTAAGGTATGGATATGAATTTTAAGAAAATACTGATTCTTAGGAAAGCATGGTGTTCTTTATACCATTGATGATCTGAATCTGACCTATCACTAATTTTTACTCACTGTAGAGAGGGTTAGGAAAGCTACTCAATCACTTTAAAATAGAGTGCCTAGAAACTACTGGTTTGAGCAGATAAGCCAAATGGAACTAGTGACTGCCATGAAGAAAAGCTTGGGTGATTTAACAAAGCAAGCAAAATAAGCTGCCATAGATAGCTAGAGCTGTAGACTGAAGACTTGTGTGTTTGGGTGTGGTGTAGGGTTTGGAATAAGGCAAATTGAGTTCAAGTCTTGTGTGGTATGTGACATTGACATGCGCTAGTTAACGGAATCACAGTTCTGTCTTGTGTCTCAGAATCACGTGCATAAAGAACAGTTGGTTGGGTTCCATTTCTCTTTCCCTAGGTTCTTGGCTCTTTTTACATGAGGTTACAATGGTTGTGTATGCTTTTCCCAGGATGAATGACATGAATTTGAGCCCAGTGGGGATGGAGCAGCTGTCTTCGTCCTCTGTGAGCAATGCCCTGCCAGTCTCTGGAAGTCATCTGGGTTTGGCTGCCTCTCCCTCTCACAGTGCTATCCCTGCCCCAGGTGAGTGGGAGCCACTGCACTTGAACACTTGTTCCATTCTGAAACCATTTTAGGCTAGTACAGAGAAACTAGTGAGAGGCCTCTGCAAAGTGTTTTGATAGTTCCAGCATCCTAGTGGGTGGGAGTAGCAGTTTTTTTGTAGTCTTTCTTTTCAGTTCTCTTTCATCCAGAGCTGATACTGACTTGGTTTTTTACCCATTTTTTCTCATACTCATTGGTTGACACTTTGACATCATGTCCCTAATTAATAGAAGAGAATCAGTTAAATTTCCTCTGTAAATTCCCAAAGCACTTGAAATCTGGCTTGCTTTAGATTGGAAACTGAGCATCTGTAGGAATGGGCAAGGCCTGGCTTTATGGGAAAATGGTGCGAGAGATGGAGCTCCTATGTACAACTCCCTAACTCCCTGTGAGCCTGGGCGTCTGTGGAAACACTGGGCGGGGAAGCGCAATCTTCTCTACCCCATGCCGTAACATACCATCTCCCTTTTTCTTCCTACCTCATGCCTTAGCACTCCACCTCCCTTTTTGTTGTTGGGAGATTTTGTTCTGTTTGAGAAGTGATTATAGGTAGCCTGGATTGGTCCCAATGTTAGTATAATCAGGGTGACCTTGAACTCCTGATCCTCCTGGTTCCACCACCCAGGTGCTGGGATTACAGGCGTGTGCTACCACACCTGGTTCTCAAACCCTTTTACTGTTTAGTTTTGTTTTCTTCTCCCCCAATATCTCACTTCTGATTCTTTATTGATAAGGATTAATTAGATTAATGCTTCCGGAGACAGTCTTAAGAAAAGGCTTATATTAAAAAATAATTCCCTTTGGCAAAAATGTGCAAATCTGCATTGATTAAGTTGGTGCGTAGGCACAGGAAAAGTCTTTTAAGCTTTTGAAATGGGTATAATTCAAGGTGGGTGTAGTGCAAGGTTCAGACTGTTTTGATTGTGAAGTACATCATGTAGAGGAAGGGTTGAAAATAAGTATATATAGCTTCACATCTAACTTTAATCCTGATGGATTCCAAGTGCAAACATACCTCGTTTTTGTTTGTTACATTTTTAGATATGGGTCTTACTATGTTACCCAGGCTAGGCTGAAAATCTTTCTGCCTCAGCCTTCCTGGTACTGGGATTACAGTAATGCACCACCATGCCAAACATTTGCGTGCTTTAAAAATGAAATGTGTAGTGACAAAAAGGAATATTAGTTTACTTTTAAAATACTGATATCATTTAAAATGTTATCACGGCAAGAGACCACACTTGTGAACATGTTTTGTTTGTTTGGTGTGTGTGTGTGTGTGTGTGTGTGTGTGTGTGTGTGTGTGTGTGTGTTGGTTGGTTTTTTTGATGTTGGTTTTGGTGTGTGTTTGTTTTTTTTTTTTTTTTTTTGTTTTGTTTTTCAAGGCAGGGTTTCTCTGTAACAGCTCTGGCTGTCCTGGAACTCTTCGTAGACCAGGCTAGCCTTTAATTCAAAGATCTGCCTGCCTCTGCCTCCCACCACAGCCTGGTCAGTTTCTGTTTTTAATCTTTATTTACCTTAAAGAGTCATATTTTTTACTATTTTTTAGTTATGTGTGAGCTTGTCCTTGTGAGGGCAGGTGCTTTGCAGAGGTTCTGGCCTGGAGTTGGAGTTACACTGACATGGATGCTGGGAATGGAACTCTGTTTGGGCCTCTGGTGGAGAGGTACATGCTCTTAACACTGAGACATCTCTCCAGCCCCCTGCTGTTTTTAGCTATTAAACAAAGTAGACTGAATTGTTTTGAGAAACACAACTAGAGGATCAGTTTAGCACTTTAAAAATAACCTGATGTGCATACATTCACACTAAACTAATTTGAGGGTCAAGTTTGGTCATACACACTTGTAATCTTACCATTCCATTGAATCATAGGTCAGGCCGGGCTACATAAACTCCTGTGGAGAAGTAATTTGGGGACCATGACTGTTTGTTAGGTTATGTTATAGATCTTACCCAATAGTGTCTTGGGAGAGATTCTTTTGTTTCTCTAAATTCTAAGAGTTTTGATTGTGGTTTTTACGTACTAGTCTTCTTTTAATTAAGAAAAAAATTGTTTTTTTAAAGGTCTCCCAGTGGCAATTCCAAACCTGGGTCCCTCCCTGAGCTCTCTGCCTTCTGCCTTGTCTCTGATGCTCCCCATGGGCATTGGAGATCGAGGGGTGATGTGTGGACTACCTGAAAGAAACTATACCCTACCTCCACCACCGTACCCTCACCTAGAGAGCAGTTACTTCAGGACCATTCTACCTGGTAAGTTTTATAGGGGGGGAGTAAGGAATGGAACCATTCTACCCGTAAGTTTTATAGTTCTTTTGGTAGGGTAAGGTGGGGTGGGTGATGGAACCATTCTGACTTCAGCTTCTGAAGATTGGAATTAACATCTTTTTCTTTCTCCTTATTGGATAGCAATCTCTGGGTTTGTTGGTATTTTTGTGCTTTGCTTAGAACATGCATGTAGTTAAATATGAAAGAAGCAATTTGAGTAAAGTAATTCATTCTTTTCATTGTCTTGCTAGTGTAGTTTTAATTTTTTAAAATTGTTTTGGTGTTTTGAAGTGATGAGGATTGAACCTAGGACCTCCAGCATCATAGAAAGGAATATTACCACTGAGCTATCCCAAAGTCCTTTTTATTTTGAGACTGGGCCACTGTCTATATAGCAGAGAATGATTTTGTTCCAGATCCTCTTGCTTGTACCTTCAAAGTGGTAGAATACAGGCATGAGGATGTTGTTGGTTTGAGAGAGGGTTTTGCTTGTAGCCCTGGAACCTGTTATGTAGACAAGGCTGGCCTCAGACTCAGTGATGGGTTATAGATGAGCTCCACCATACCTGGTTTATGTTACAGCTTTTTTCTTTGCATGTGAGTGAGTGCTCAGTGGGTGTTGCTGCATGTGGAGGCTAGAGGTTAATGTTGGTTGTCTTACACACATGTTCCCCACCTTACATATGGAAGCTGGATCTCTCACTGAACTTGGAACTTGTTGATTCAATAGCTAGTGTAACTAACCAACTTGTGAGATTTTAGGTGGGCCACCATGCCCTCCTGGAATTTACAAGGGCATTGGGGACATAGTGGTAATTTACCTGCTGAGTCATCTTCCAGTTCCGTATGGTACAGGGAATTTGGTGTTTTGTTTTTCAAGAGAGGGTTTCTTTGTGTCATCATGGCTGTCCTGAAACTTACTCTGTAGACCAGACTGGCCTCCTGAGTGCTGGGATTAAAGTAATGCCCCCCACACCCTCAACCAGTCTTTATATAAAGCAAATTATGGTCACTGAATATTGGTGAATAGTTTTTAATTCTATAGTTTACCAGCTACCTGTCATGCTTAAAGTTTGTTGATTTTTAAATCTGTTTTAAAAGTATTACATATCCTCTTTAAGAAAACTTAGCAAACACTAAGAAAGGGAAGCCACATTTGTCTTTCTGGTGTATTTCTGTCTTTGGAGTACTGGTGGTTATAGTTTTCCATGATTTAAGACCATGGTTTCTCTACAGTTGTGTATGTTTCTTCACTTCAAAATTTCCCCTGCTACTTCCTGGTTTTCATAACCCCTCTCCCGTCCTCTTTTGAAATAGGCTTTCACTGTGTTGCCCTGGCTGGCCTAAGGACTCACTATGTAGACCAGGCTGGCTTTGAACTCAGAGACTTGCCTGCCTCCTTGCTAAGTGCTGAGATTAAAGGAGTGTGCCATCAAATCTGACATCCTCAATGTTTTTAGATAGCATACTTCTGTAATTCCAATGTTTGGGAGGCTGAAGCAGGGAGACTAGGAATTCAGACTAGCCTGTGTCTGCCTAAAAAAAAAACCAAAAACAAACAAACAAACAAAAAACAACTGGATGGATATTTAATGGTTTATTGCATCAGTCTTCATTGTTGGGCAACTTGGTTTTTTCCAAGTTTATTGTCATTATAGCTGATATTCTTAGGAGTGTCTTTGGATATATTTACAGAATATACTCAGACATTGGAAAGTTGCTGTATAAATGCTGTTTTATGCAAGACAGTACAGTCATTTTTTAGGTTCATAAGTATACTGTGTTTTGGTATGTACTCCTACTAGAAGTACCTCAGATAACATCCTACGTCTTGGAAGCGTAGCTTTGGACTTGGGATGTACTTCAGTAGTAAGACTTTTTTGAGGCCCTGGGTTTGATCCCAGCCTGCCCCTACTCCCAGAAAAAGTTTCATAAAATAAGTTTGTTTAATTATATAGTTTAATTTGCTTTGATAATTTTATAACAAAAGTTCTTAAATCATTTTAGTGCTTATTTATTTACATATTTCTTGCAGAGCAAATTTTAGCATCTTAGAACCAAATATTTGCAACCACATTGATAATAGATCCCATTTAAGTTGTTTCTAGTTGACTTCGTCAGATCAGTTTCATGTGTTTACAGAATAGTATATGTACTACTTGTATAGATACTGGTTTAAAAAGTAGTGGGTTATTTAATTCAGCTGTATCAGAAACATGGTTCCTAGCACTTGAAATTTCTTATATTTGACAATGTGCTAAATAGCTCTGATATCTCTTCTTTTCTCAGGCATTTTATCTTACTTAGCTGACAGACCACCTCCTCAGTACATCCACCCCAACTCTATAAATGTTGATGGCAATACAGCATTGTCTATCACCAACAGCCCATCAACACTTGATCCCTATCAGGCCAATGGAAACGTTGGATTAGAATTAGGCGTTGTTTCAATAGACTCTCGCTCTGTGAACACACATGGTGCCCAAAGTCTTCATCCTAATGATGGCCACGAAGTGGCATTGGACACAACAATCACTATGGAGAATGTTTCTAGGGTTACCAGCCCAATCTCTACAGATGGAATGGCAGAGGAGCTTACAATGGACGGTGTTGCAGGAGAACATTCGCAAATCCCAAGTGGCTCCAGAAATCATGAACGCCTGTCTGTGGATTCTGTGAGCAACAGTCTTACAGCAGACACTGTAGGACATGGTGGTGTGATCCCCATTCATGGGAATGGTCTGGAGCTTCCTGTGGTCATGGAGACAGACCATATTGCAAATCGGGTCACTGGGATGTCTGATGGTGTTGTCAGTGACTCCATCCACACTGTGGCCATGAGCACCAACTCTGTAAGCGTGGCACTCTCTACCTCACACAACCTTGCCTCCCTAGAATCGGTTTCCCTCCATGAAGTTGGCCTAAGTCTAGAGCCTGTAGCTGTCTCTTCCATCACGCAAGAGGTTGCTATGGGGACAGGTCATGTAGATGTCTCCTCAGACAGCTTGGCTTTTGGACCACCTTCACTGCAAATGGAAGACTCCAATTCAAACAAGGAAAACATGGCAACCTTGTTTACAATTTGTGAGTGTCTTGGCTGTTCTCCTCTGGAAGTACTGTTTTTGTCTGAGAGTTCCGCCTGCATGCTAGTGCCTGCAGAACTAGGACAGTGTTGGGTTCCCTGAACTGTAGTACAGAAAGTGTGAGCTGTCCTGTGGGCTCTGGCACTCCAACCTGGATCTTCTGCAAGAGTAGCAAGTGCTCTTAATTGCCGAGCCCTCTGCACATCACAAACACTGGTTTTAGAATGCCATTGTCTGACTAGTGTTTGATATAGAGTGGTGATAGTTAAGGAAGTTGAGGAATTTCACTTTGGAATTTTTCTATGTCCTCATATTATCCTTTTATTACTCTGGTGCCATTTTCCTCAAGTCAAATAACAGATGTGCAATTTATTCTTTTTTCTTTAATTCATTAGTTCTTACATTGGCTTCTTGGAGTAAACAGACAATATAGTTGCATCTATATTTTACCAATAAGTTGTAACCCTGTAATAGTCAAGATATTTCCCAAACAGCATTATAGAAGTAAAATGTAACACAGGTAATCTTCACTGTGCTCTTTCAGCTTATGCCAGAAGAAAAAAGTTGCTAGATCACTGTTACAACTGTGGGAAAATGTAGGTTGATAATGCAGCTATTTGTCTTAGACTGTATGAATTACTATAGTTGGGCATTTAAAAGTTCTCTTTTTATTGGGCAACAACACAAAGACTGTATAAAAAAGTTGATTTGTTGGTTTCACTTTGTATTTAAGCCATGCAAGAAACTTTGATGTGCTCTGCCAGATGCAGGGGATAGGGCAGTCTACCAAGCAGTACAGACTTGAGGAACCAGTTTGGGAAGCATGGACAAAACCCAGGCAGCTGAAGTACATAGTAGCAGTAAAAGTGTCACAATGGGATTAAGCTCACGGTACTTAAGGAGTTTGAAGAACAGGTATCTAGGGCTGTGGAAGGGTCAGCATATGTGTTAGCATAGGCCTCAGGACAGGAGAGATGGCAGTCTGTTGATAGGAAGACAGCCATTGGCACCTGTTAAGAGCTTAGAATGAAAAGAATCATAATGGTTCATATGGCTATAGTGGAAAATGGGGCTGAGGGACCAGTCACTTATCTAAACAAGTAGGAACAGAACATACAGGGCCGTTAAGACCCCTAAGGGTTTTAGGAGTAAGTATTGCTATGGGTTCTACTGCAGTGTGAGCTGGTAGATTTGTTTGAGACAAATATTGTACGTTATGCTGAAAGCTGGGGAGAGGGTAGTGATGAGTCCATTTCACATACTGGTTCAGTATGTAAGGTGCTCAGTGGAGATGGCTGGTGGAGCTCAGGGAGGGATTACCTAAAGGTAATAATCATGGCCATGGTAGTGGGATGAAACCATCTGGTAAAGGTACAGAAAAGCTTCTGAATACAGCGGACACAATAGGGTCAGGGAGGAAGGAAAAGTCTACAATAAGTATAATTAATTATTAAGACCCTTTTTACTAGCTGACTGGTAATTAACTTCTGGTACCAAGTGGAAACTTAGTTCATGTGAACTATACCTATCTGTGTCTTTAACACGTGCTGTCTGCAGGGTGCACTCTCTGTGACCGAGCCTACCCCTCAGACTGCCCTGATCATGGACCAGTGACTTTTGTTCCTGACACACCAATAGAGAGCAGAGCAAGGCTGTCCCTCCCAAAACAACTTGTTCTCCGCCCATCCATTGTGGGGACAGACATTGGTAAGAATATTGGAAGAGACCACACAATCCCATCAAGTCTCCTTTCCTTATGGGCTAGAGTTATAAGTTTATTTGTGTAATTAGTGACAAGTTTAGTGGCTTAAAATGTGTACTCTTAGAGAATAGGTGATATCTGTGGTGATGAGAACAAGGGAGCCTATGAACACCTTGGTGCCGAGCCACTCCTGTGAATCAGTTGGCTGGAAACTCTGTTCTCAGCTGTCCTGTCTGTCACAGCCAGCATGCCACCATATTCCTCAAAGCTTATTTTCTACTAATACATGGAAAATATACCGCTGACAATCGTGTGACCCAGAAGATAAGCAGAGTTTTTAAAAATATAATTGTGTAGCACTATAGAAAGGATCTAGACCACCAGGACATATTTATCCATATCTTAGTTTAACATTTCTGAGTTATTATGCCTATCCTTTGAAAATAGGAAATTAGGTTTATTTTTAGCCATAGCTCAGGCATGAATCTTGAAAGCATTAAGCATCTTAGGTAATAACCATGCAATACATTAAGCATAAGAGATTTTAGAATAGAAGCTTGATTTATTTTATATAAATTGCTTTTTTTGATAAAATTTTTGTGGTCTCTTCTAAAATAATATGGAGAGACATAGGTTTTGTGTGTGTACAGCAGGGATTTGATTTTGCTTTTTATGCATTTCAGTTTCTGTGTGTGGGTACGTGCTTTTGTCTGAAGTACAGGTGCATGTATGCTGTGATACACACGATGACGGTCAGAGAACAACTTTTGGTAGTGGAGTTCTGTGGGTGGAACACTGCAGGTCATTGGCTTTCAGGACAAGTGGTTTTTACCCACTGACTCATCTTTTTGATGACTTTTGTTTGATATTGTAGGCTCAGACCCACAAGTCTCAGCTGTCTAGAATGGTTGACACATCAAAAAATTGTTACCTTATAGAAAGTGAGGTCTTTGTGTGTGTTTAACGCCTGCCTCAGTGCTCTTACTAGTTTAAATCATTGTGTAGTTGGGGTCCTTCCTTTGATAGGAGTGTGGACGGCGGAAACCATTCCTGTGCGCACTTGCTTCGGGCCTCTAATTGGTCAGCAGAGCCACTCCATGGAAGTAGCAGAGTGGACAGACAAGGCAGTTAACCAAGTCTGGAAGGTCAGTGTTGAAGGAACTTATCTGACTTTTGGCTGCTGCTGTAGCCCAAGCTGGCTTCTATTTCTTGAGTCCTCCTCTTCAGCTTCCCAGATGTTGGGATTATGCCGTGCCACCATGCTTGATGTTTTGGGTTGTTTTCAGAGGGACAAGTTTTAAGAGGGACAAAAGACTGAGTGCATTCACTTGTCCATTGTTTTGTATTATAGTCTCTTATTTCTGCTATAAAAGCTTTACAGCTTGTTCTACCAGCGGTTGAGTTTTCATTTTACGGATTAATGCAGTGATTTTGATTTGTCTTTATATGTGTGGGATTTTCCATGAATCTATGTGTAGCACTTCGTGCAGTGTCTGTAGAGGCCAGAAGAGGGTTTCAGGGCCTGTGGAACTGGAGTTATACACAGTTATGAGCTTCCATGTGGGAGCTGGGAACTGAACTGAGAGCCTCTGCAAGAGTAGTTATTATTCTTAACCACCAGGCTATCTTAGCCCTAATTTGAATCATTTTTATGTGATTTGAATTCATAATGGCTCCTGAGACTATGAACTTTGTTTACAAAACAAATTTTTTTTTTTTTTTTTGTGGTTGTTGTTTGTTTGTTTGGGTTTCTCTGTCTGGGAACTCACTCTGTAGACCAAACTGGCCTCAAACTCAGAGATCACTTGCCTCTGCCTCCTGAGTGCTGGGATTAAAGGCACACTTGGCACAAAAGTTATTTTTAATTAACTAAACATTCTGTAAATATTTGGGTTAGGGAATAGTTCTAGAATTAGCTACAATTGTTTTTCTAGTTTCCTAATATAAAGTTTAGACATCAGTAGCTATTCTAGTAACATATTTATGTAGGATTTTAAGAAATGATGAGTACAAAATTGAAACACAAGACAGTGCATCTTAGGGGACTTCAAATTTGATGTCTGACTGGAAAAATGGGTAGGAGTGGTCCTCTGCCCTTAGGAGACAGTCAGTCCTACTGTACCCAGATAGACAAGTAGTCTGTGTTTTATCTTTTTAGCTAAAAGGTACCCAAGAATGGCATCATTCTCATGAAAGATTTTGAGCTCACCTGACATGTTGGCTTTCTTTCTGTTGGCAGATATACCATAATGGTGTCCTAGAATTCTGCATCATTACATCTGATGAAAATGAGTGTAATTGGATGATGTTTGTGCGCAAAGCCAGGTAAGGGGGCACGGTAGATAAGGGCTCATTACTATTCAGATAGGTTTTCAATAGGAAACTTTACATGAAACAGGGAAGAGCTACAGAATAGGGTACCACCCTTGGCATGCTTAAAACCCAAGCCTTTTCAGCATCTCATTCTGTGGTAGAAGACTGGGTGGCTGTAAAGCTGAGTATGTCATTTTTTAATGAACATTTTATTCAGCTTCTGGTACAGTGAAGAATAATACACTCAATCCTGAGTTTGCAAATGATTGCCTCTTCATATCAGTGATAGTCTTTCTCAGGCTATTATTGGAGCTCATTTTTGTTAACTTTCTATCTTTGTATGTTTGTCATAAAGACATTTTAAGACTTCACTGGCATTGTTACTCAGGCCTATGATACCCAATGCCCAGCACTTGGGAGCCTTGGGCAGGAGGATCTCTGCAAGTTCTAGGCCACTTTGAGCTACATAGCAAGTTCTAGCTTAGCCTGAACAAATATTGGGACCCTGTCTCAAAACAAACAGGAATGCTTCACTTTATTTATCTTCTGTTTTGACATAGGATCTCATTATATGCATCAGGCTGGCCTGGAACTTGGAGCAGTTCTCCTTTAATCAGTCCTGTCTCAGCTGGGATTGCAGTTGTGAATTGCCCATGCCTAGCTACTTATTTACTCATTTTGCAGCTAGTAAGAGACTGGTGTTTGTGACTATAAAGGATAACCATCTTTGTATCCAAGTAAGAATTATGTTTCTTCACAGTCCCTAATAGGGTGGATAGAGGATTACTGAAATGATAGAGAAAATAGTTCCATGTAAGCTTTCCTATTGGATTCCTCTGTAGAGGCCATGGCACGTTTAGTATATGTATCAGAGTTACTATACTTGGGCAGATCTAGCTTATTGGTAGGATTGCCTATCTAGTGTGTATGAGGCTTTAGTTTGATGCACAGCACTGGATAAAAGTACCGTTAGCTAGTTATATGGTGTTTACAACGGTAGCCCTAGCTGTTTGGGAGGCTGAGTGGAAAGTTAATTGAGACCAGGAGTTTATAACCAACCTCAGCAACATGGTGAGACCTGTTCCCTTAACACTTGATGTATTACATGTGATTATGTAGGAACCGTGAAGAACAGAATTTGGTGGCTTATCCCCATGATGGAAAAATCTATTTCTGTACCTCACAAGACATCCCTCCTGAAAATGAGCTGCTTTTCTATTATAGCCGGGATTACGCCCAGCAGATGGGTGAGTCTGTAGGACTTGTTATCATGCACTTAGTGCAGTGCTGTCAGCGACCAGGGTGAGAGCTTGGTAATGATTTTTATTAACAGATAAAGCTCGGGGGTCAGATATTAGGGAATGAACCTGATAGATTCACGGAGCATGGGAGATAGCAGCTGGCTCTCTTGTCCACTTCCCAGGTTGAAAAGACATGAACATCTTTCCAAGTCCCTCCATCTTCCTCTCCGTGTCTCTGTCTGGGCCCTCTGGATATGTATTCCACCCTCTGTATCAAGGGTTGACTCCATTGGCAGTCTCAGAGCGACAGTACAAACACATTTCCATGACAGATTTTACAGTGGTGGCTTTACAAAAGCACGCTGTTAGTTAGCTTTGTGTGCAAGGTGATAGAAGTCTGTAGTTCTTTCTTCACTAGTTCAATGTTAATGTTTCAAATAAGGTTTGTTGTAGTACTTTGAATCAGGGCTTGTAAATCCCCAAAACTGCTTTTTGAGCTTCGTTAAAGTTATCAAAATCCTTTGGGTTTGATTTACTGTGTTTTTTCTCTTTTCACTGTTACATAGACTGTTTGTCCTTCAAAATGTAAATGGTTTCTCCAGGAAAAGACCTTGCTAATGCCATGTTTGCCAAATGCTTTTGTGTGCCCTGCTGCAGGCATTGCTTTAGGTGCTAGGGATATGGCACTAAACAAGGCCTCCTAATCCCACAGGTAGTGAGCAAATAAGACATTTTGGTAGAAGGGGGAATTCTTTGATTTGTTTTAATCATCAGTAGTTAATGTCAAAAATAATTTTGAAATAAGAGGAGATATTGACTTACTTTTTTAAAGGTGTTCCTGAGCACCCAGATGTGCACCTCTGTAATTGTGGAAAGGAGTGCAATTCCTATTCAGAGTTCAAAGCTCATCTAACCAGCCACATCCATAGCCATCTCCCTGGCCAGGCACACAGCAGCAGCCACGGGCCAAGCCACAGCAAGGAAAGGAAGTGGAAGTGTTCCATGTGCCCCCAGGCTTTTATCTCTCCTTCCAAGCTCCACGTCCATTTTATGGGTCACATGGGCATGAAGCCCCACAAGTGTGACTTCTGTAGCAAGGCTTTTAGTGATCCAAGCAATCTAAGGACACACCTCAAAATACATACAGGTAAGCCACACTGAGCCATTGGCGTGGAGTTCTTATAACTTGACTGAAGAAATTATTGGAGGTAGAGTTGTAATATGCAATAGAAAATATCCAGATGGCTATGGGTGGGATGTCATTGGGTAGTGAGCCTCATGAGGTAGAAAACGTGGCTACTAAGGGTGTTACTTTCACTCACAAAGGTGTTTCATTTTAAGGAGTCCTACTGTGTAACTTGAAGGAGCCAGGAAAAATTTAATTAATAAAATAAATTGATCCGTGTTTCCATTGCAGCAGAGGGGAGCCCGTCAGAGCATACAAGCTTCCCTCTGCAGATCTTCCTGCCGTTCGTCAGGAGTGCTCAGTAAATACTGCCCACTTTGCAGATTTGAGCTTCCATTTTCTAAACTGCGTATAAACTGCATAAAACATGACTTATTTGTATTTTATGTGTATGAATATTTTGTCTGCATGTATGTATACCACTTTTATGCAGTTTCTGTGTGTGTCCAGCAGAGGGCATCATCCCTGGAACTCCAGTTCCAGATCATTATGAGCTGCCATAGGGTGCCGGGAACTGATCCCAGGTCCTCCGCCAGGGTAGACAGTGAGCCACTGCTTTTAAGCATTGGCCCATCTCTCTAGCGCTTCAGTTCTTCCCCCATACATACTACAAAATAACCAATGAGGTTTTAACTTTCTTGGTTAGTTCATTTGTTCTACAAATTACTATAAGGAAGTTTCCTCCTCAGTCTGTTTTATTAAGACTGGGTAGTTGGAGTAGAGACCATGTGTCCTCCAGAAGCTAAAACACCCACTATATATACCCTTTCTTCTTCTTCTCTCTTCCTCCCCTCTTTCTCATGGGCCACCCCCAACCCCCACACAAGATTTGCCAACCTCTGACCTAGAGTTTTTGTTAAAATATACTTGGAAGGATTTGGTTTCATTCTCGTGAGATCATACTGTGTTTTAAGGAGGGAAGGAGTGAAGAAAGAAAGAAGGAAGGAAGGAAGGAAAGAAAGGGAAGGAAGAAAATGTTGAGGGGAAATAATGGTGTGAAGACAATTGCTAAGGTTTGTGTAAATTTTTTTGAAGTGAGTCTCAGCTCAGGCTAGCCTCACACTTGCTGAGGATGACCTTGAATTAATTATTTTTTTGAGACCTTTTCTCTGTGTATCCTTTGGCTGTCCTGGAACTCACTCTGTAGACCAGACTGGCCTTGAACTCAGAAATCTGCCTTCTGCCTCCCAAAGGCATGGGCCACCATTGCCTTGATTTTCTGGCCCTCCTGTATCCACTTCCTAGATGTTGGGCTCTAAGGCATGCACCACCATACCTGGCTAATGTGCTAGAAAGTGAATTCAGGGTTTTAGGTATGTTAGGCAGGCACTCTGTCAACTGTTCTTTTAAATTTGGTAGGGGTTGATACTATGTTTTCTTCTTCAGAGTGCTGGCTACAGACATGTATGTGCTTTTAGATAAGAGGTCTTAAGAAGTCATACTCGCTGGCTTTGCTAGCTTTAATTTAGGGTAAAAAGGGAAATGGTTAGACTTTTCAGGTAGATAGCATAGAGAATGAAGTGCCAGACATGAGTCGGTTCTGCTGGATGCTTGTTTGGGCTGCTTCTCCAAACATTCGTGCTTGTCTGAGAATCTGTAGTTGTTTTTTTCTCAGTGTGATGTCTTGGGTTAATTTGCAGGTCAGAAGAATTACAGGTGTACTTTATGTGACAAGTCTTTTACCCAGAAGGCTCACCTGGAGTCACACATGGTCATCCATACGGGTGAGAAGAATCTCAAGTGTGATTATTGTGACAAGCTATTCATGCGGAGGCAAGACCTTAAGCAGCATGTGCTCATCCACACACAGTAAGTACCCTGCAGTGAGGATGCTCCCGCAGGTAGTATGGCATTGTGTGTGCCCTGTGCTTGCCATGATGCTCAGTGAGCTCCTCCTTGTTGTCCTTGAACAGGGTTTTTTGCCTCCTGTGTTCCAAATAGCCAAGCGATGCTTGGGCATTAGTGTGAAAGATTTCACACGGTTTCTGATCTTACTTTTATACATTGTGTGTGTGTGTGTCCCTTGTCATGTATCCCTATACCTCTTTTTGTTAATCGAGCACATGTCTGTAGTTTCTGCAGCTAGTCCTGTTGGTAGTTTCAAGTTTAGTCCTCTACAGTATTTTTTATATGATCTGTATAGGAAGGAGCTAGAGCTGTAGTTTGTGCCAGAGTGCTTGGTTGGTGTGCAGAAAACAGCAGAACTGTCATCTTCTTTGACCTTGAAGACAGGTGCATCTTTTGTCCCAAGTATATTTCTCCTGTTTATATCTCCTTGGTATATATCAGAAAGAATACCTTGGTATATATCAGAAAGAATATAAAAACAGAGAAATGTTCATAGAGTCTTGCTTATGAAAATATTAAACTGAAAGCCACCAATATATCCACTAAGAACAAGAAAAGTCAGTTGCAGACTGTTTATAAATACTTAGTATTAATGGAAAGGAACATACTATAGGTACTTGAACAACTTGCATGAATTTCAGAGACTTCATATCCAGTGATTCTGGATCCATTCTATACTGGATGGTCCTGTTTGCATAGTATTCTAGGAAGGGAAAACAGTTGATCCTAAAAGTTCCTACAAAGGTAGTCTAGATGAGGGAGTGTGTGTGGCTTGTTGTTTACAACCCCAAAGCAGATGTTCTTGTGTTCCTCTTAGAGAACGCCAGATCAAGTGTCCAAAGTGTGATAAACTGTTCTTGCGAACAAACCACTTGAAGAAGCATCTTAATTCTCATGAAGGAAAGCGGGATTACGTCTGTGAGAAATGTACAAAGGCTTATCTAACCAAGTACCATCTCACTCGACACCTGAAGACCTGCAAAGGGCCCACCTCCAGCTCCTCGGCACAGGAGGAGGAGGACGATGACTCTGAAGATGATGATCTCACAGACTCCATGAGGACGGATGACTGTAGGATGAGCAGTGCTATTTACTCAGCAGACGAGTCTCTCTCCACACACAAATAAAAGGAAAACTGCTTTGGATGGGCATTGCATTGGGAAAACACAAAACCAGCTCACTGCAGAGGTTTTGATATGGAGTGCCTCCTGATCTTCCTAACCCCGTCAAGAGTGGACCGAGTGGGAATAGCTAAAGCACTTAGAGAAGAATATCCAAATGGATTCTTTAAGACGTGTCTGTCTTATTTTTAAGTAAAGGTTGGCGAGGAAAGGGCCAGCTTTTGATACCTGTTCTTACATAGTAATTTGGGAGATCATTTATGCTTGAGTCAACGTGGCCTTTTGTTCATACAAATCAGGTTTATCTCACATTGTTCCATTTTTCCCCTCCAGCCAACGTGACTTGACCTAGCCATCCCCACTGTTGACCATATATTATGTACTGTTGTGAGGTATGCATTTCACAGAGAATTGCAGCACAGCAATGCAAGTATTCAGTGACTAATTCATTATATAAAACAGAGAAAGTAATTCCTTCTGGCCACTGGAGAGTTAGATACTGTTTCCCCATTTCAGCAGGTGTTGAGGGGGCAAGTAAAGAAGCCGATATGGGTCAGAGGACAGTGACTGGTGGAGGGAAAAGTCCAGAAAAGCACCTTCAATGGAAGCCAAGATTAGCCACCTGGTTATGTGTACATGTACATCTTTGCAGTCTAGCCATGTCTCTGTCTTCAGGAAAGAAAGCCTTTCTGTCATTCAGCAAGTACCTGGAACTAACAGTGTCCAAATAATGCCTGCCGGGTAGTCTCCTGTCAGCAAGTGCATATGGACTCACCTGACAAGACCAGTACTTCAGCCTGCAGGAAGGTGGAAGACAATGAATCTTTTAAGTAGGTTTACTTCACAGAAACCATTAAAATGTTGCTCGCTGAAAGCAACATGTAGATACAAATGCATTGGTGGGTTTCAGTTAGGCTTTCCCAGTTGTCTTCCTTGCTAAAGGCCCTAACCAGCTAAGTGCACAGGATAACAAAGGATCTGGAAGACAGAGAAGACTGTCAGTCACTATAGGGTCTGTTTTCAGGTCTCTGTGAGCAGGCATAGCCAGCTTTTGGCAAGAAGCAGAAACACCCTAAAGTGGACAGGATTGATGGATAAAGTGGACAGGATTGATGGAACATGTCTTCCTGCTCAAGGGTATAGCCTTTCTTGGCTTGGGTAGAGGAAGGACTCTGCTGGGAAGGTTTTGCTGCTAATGTATTTATGGGATGAATGTATGTCATTCAAATCTGTATTCCTTTAGGAAGAATTAAATTTTTAATGAAAATATGGAATTTCTCAATCTTTTGTGGAGGAAGGACTCAGGTTAAAAGAGAAGCAAGCTTTAGCTCTGAACTTCTAATTGTTTTTGTGTAATGGTGCTGAGATAAACTACACTACTGACTGGGATTTATTTGCAGCCTCTCCTGCCCTCTTCCTGGGGCAGGGCCCCAGGGGCAGCTAGCAGGTCTACAACTGAAGGCAGGTGCTGTGGGTGGTTAGGGGTGACTGCTAACACCAAGGCAGAAAGCCTTGCTCATCACCGTAAGTGCTCAAAGTAATTTGTCCCTTTTCTCAGGAGCATACAGTGTCGCTTCTACCTTTAACCTGCTGAGTTTAATTGGCACTGCCCTTTGACAGGACTTACACTTCTCTGCTTAGTTGCAGGAGGTCTTGTCTACTATTGCTGTTGGGTCAGTGGCTACATGGACAGGCAGGATATGGTAAATGTACTTTGTTTTTCTTTTGAGACAGGGTTTCTCTGTAACAGCCCTGGATGTCCTGGAACTCAGAGATCCACCTGCCTCTGCCTCCTGAGTGCTGGGGTTAAAGGTATGTGCCACCACCTGGCTACAATTCTTAAGTTTATACCTTTTAAGTCAAGTACAAGAGGTTATGAAGTAACTACAGGGAGAATTTACTGGAACCTTCTGGAACCAAAACTTATTCAGTATTACTTTGACAGTTTGTTGTTTTTTGATAATAGAAAATTCATATGAAATGATTTCTCAAAAATAGTTTTTAGATGTTGGGACAAAGAAAACATTCCTGAAAACATGTAGTTCATAACCAAAAGCAATGTCAAAAATATGATTAACGTGGAAAAGGTGTAAATAATCACATTTTCATAACAAAATGGACCAGGGCGACTGATCAGTCAATTAACATGCTCGCTTTGCAAAGCACATGGGCCTGAATTCAATTCTGGAACCTACTATGCATACTGTAATCCCAGCCTGGGAAGGTGGAGACAAGTGGATCCTTGAACAGGCCAGCCTGGCTGGCCTTGGAGCTCCAGGAATCTCCCTTCTCCCCAGTGCTGGGATAGGCCTCAGCCACACCATCCTGGCTAACACTGCAAGACCTAGTCTCCAAAACTCTTGAAGTTACCATTGTTTTATAAATCTACAGTTCTTGGTCAGAAGGCAATCATTTTTAAAAAACATTTTTAATTCCAAGAAATATAAGAACTGTACAATACCAGGTGAAGGCAGACAGAAGCTGTGGACTGCCACCAAAGCTGCAGAGAGGAATTGCAACAGGAACTGAATTTTGTCTCCATCATTGTATGACTGCAGCTACACATCCAAACTCTGAGCTCATATAAACATGCCAGGAGATGGAACTTTGTCAGGACTCCATTGGTGTCTGTGGGTTCCCACTCCCGCAAGGGCCACTAACAGACAAGCCTTTAGTGCTGCCAATAACCAGCCTCTCCCGCCTTCCAAATGCTTCATTCACTAAAAGGAACCATTAGATAAGGAGTTAAGAGTCTATACTATAAGGACTAGAGCATCAACAAAGTTCTGCTGTGAGGTGAAAACTTAGAAAATAACATTAATACTAAGTGATAAAGCAGCCAATTCAGTAAGCCTGACCAATCAATGTACCAGATGGGCGAATCTTCTCTTGTCGTTTTGTACTTCTCAGCCTTGTCCTAGAGCTTTCTAAATCTGCCCTGGAACATGGCTATGCTACAGATTTATTCCCCTCTGTACCGCCACCATACATACATACATAATCTACACATACATCCTATCTGTAAACTCAGATCAGCAACCCAGACAAATCTTAGGATACTTCTCATCATGGGAGGGAGAATTTAGTGAGACACACTGCCTGTAGGACACACTAAACAACCTTAAGACGGTAAGAGTCACTACTATTCTGAGGCTGGGGGGAAGGCTCTATCTTGCAGGAAGAAGTTGGGAATGAGCATGTTCATGCTGTCTGGCACCTGGGAAGGCTCTTCCTTGAGACTGCTACATTTCCTTCCAGCTTTCCCAGGAAGCTTTCCATTTTAAGATATTAGAAAATAATCTGCACTTCATATGTGAAGACAGACTTATTATTTGAGGTAGGAACTACAGGCTGCACACTGGACATGCCTTTGCCATTCACACAACACATTAAATTCCCACCCTGTGCTTAGTCCTTAGGCTTTTGGAAAGAGCAGGCCTGAAAGTTCTTACCTGAAGAGACAGTGCTTATGTCCCAAACTCGAAGCCCTTCTTTCTGACCCCCAAAGGCATAAACAAAAGGCAAATCAGGACAACATGAAGAACAAAAGAGAACCCCCTGGGGAGAGAAGAGCTGAAAGTCAGTGGTTTCTATCCTTGCAGAGAGTTGTACCTGGTGGGCCCTTACTACTACTCTAAGGACAGGTTTGATCTGTCACTCAAAGCTAGATAAGAACTGCCTATGGCGCACCATGAAACTAGTCATGATTTCACTATGCAGGTCTCATTCTTTCATTAGGAATTGCCCACCTTTTGCTGTGTTCACACAGCTTTATTCATCTTTACAAATGATTTCTGAGGTCACTCTTATGTTTTTTTTCCTTAAATGATCCATCTGCAGGTTGGGGATCAGGCATTTCTAGGCAGGTGCTCCTCCATGGAGCTGTATCCTCAGCCTCGATCACTGGGAAACATTAGCTGTCTTATGTGTTGGGGGTGGGCATGTGTGGTCGGTCAGAGGACAACTTGCAGGAGCTCATTCTCTCCTCTGAAAACATGGTCACCAGGCTTGGTAGTTAAGTGCTGTCTCTCCAGCTCCCTTAACTTATCAGTAAACTTTCAATATTTTCATTTTTACTACTAGATATTAGAAATATGCATTATTGAAAGTGTGAACGAGAAAAATATAGAACCCTTCAGTGAGATAATGTTTGTTATTCTAGACAGTTATTGAAACAAGTAGTCATTTATAGATAAGCTTGGGATGAAAACTAAGAAACCTCAGGCCTTCCTTTCAATAAACTAAGTGAACAGACACGTTTTTAACAGCTGTGAAGTCCACTGTACTGCCAATGTTAATCATGTAACTCAGCATGTATACTGTCTGTTAAAAGAAACTAGTTATTCTACATGCTTTGCTCACACATACATGTAAAATCAACTTCAGTGTAGTAAAGAGCCACGCATAGCTTCAGTGCCCATTTGAAGTTCCAAGACGCCCTGAGTTGAGGATCAGCTGTGGGCTTTTCCCCCATTCTTCTTAATCTTATCAAGTGACTATTAAGCTTGTGAACTGGAAAAGAGTTCTGATAATAGTAACTGCATTCCTTAAAAGTCTCTACGTTAGAAACTCCCACCAAGCCTGACTATCTCTATGCCTGACTGCAGTGATTGCCAGGAAAAGACGAGCAAATAAAACTGTCAGGGAGATGCTCACCATTTTCATGTCTCTAGAATGAATGAGACTTGGCCTGTCTCCTAGGATGTCCCAAATCTTCACATATTTGTCTGCTGAAGCAGTTACGAGGCAACCCTTGATCTGACTGCTCAGATCAAGACCTGGAAGACAAGATTAGTTTAGGAGCTACTGCCCGAAATTTAGATTTATTTTTCATACTTAATGCACTTGAAAGAAACATCACTGTTGCTCACCAGAGATCTCATCATTGTGCGCATTAAGTGTAAAGATTGGCTTATCTGAACGTGCATCCAGATTATACACAAAGCCGTCATCTGTACTGGCCTGCAGAGTAAAAGATGGGCAAGATCGTGTTATATGACAATAAAATTCAGCAATGGGGACATGTGTATGTAAATTACAGTAAAAGTCTTCTCTGTAGAATTTACTGAAAATTAAAGATAGACACAAGAGCTTACTTTTGCATGAGCTATGTTCATGAAGCAGGAGAGAACAGGGTTAGGGACGGGAACAAAGTGCAGTCACTGAGCAGGGTAAAAGGACTGTGGGGTGGGGTGGGGTGGCACAGTGTTGCTGAGCATGGCTGCTGAAGCTGTGAACTGAGGAACACAGAATGCCAGGCAGAGGAGGAAAGAAGATGGATGTCAGGAGCCAATGAGTAACTTAAGAAAAATGGTGTGATCAGATCACGTCTCAACACTGCCACAGCAGTGGGCTGACAGGTGAAAACAAGCTTCAAGGTTCTCAAGAACTGGGGAGCAAAGGAAGGTGGGAGAGGCCTAAAGCTCCTGGGCAACACCAGCACAGGAAAGGGTGATTGCTAGATGTGGGGCCAAAAGCTAAGACTGGACCTGGCTTCAATTCCCAGCGCCCACACAATGGTTCAGCCATCTGTAACTGTAGTTCTAGGGAATATGATGCCATCCCTCACCTCCATGGGCACTGCATACACAGGGCACACTTACAGTGCATAGAGGCAAAACACTCATACCCAATAAAATGAAATAAGATGACAAACCAGAAAAAAGACTTCAAAATCCTCTAGGCAAAAGCTGGACTCAGGGGTGAACGTAGTTATGATGCACTAATCTCACATACCCCAGGTGAAATGACCAGGCATCTTTTCTGAGGATTGTAACAGCACAAACTCTTGCACAGTTTGCATCAGTGACTTTCAAATCAGTTCCTAACCTGGGAGCCATCAGTAGGAGCTGTCACAGACTCTGTTTTGAACTACTTTACTGGTATTCTAGGATGCATTGTAACTCCACACTATTGTCTTCAGTGTCGAGTAAAACATCCTGCTACTGGTGAAGCTCTCTTTCCTTGAGAAAAACTACACTCAAATGTTTAGAATTCATAAAGTGATCTTACAGTAGCAGATAACATTCTCAGAAACACTGGAAGCTTAATTTCTTAAAAAGTTGTCACAAAACTGCAGTGTTCTTTTCTTGCTCAGTTTCCTAATTAGCTGGGACTGGAACATTTATAATTTGTACATAAAGAAGCTGTGATACACTGCTATACGCTCTCCAAAGGCTGAGCAGGAAATCGTGCCTTTGAGGCCAGCTTGGGATACACGGCCACACTGTGTCCCAGAGTGGAAGAGAAGGAAAAAAGAAAAGCCAGTA